TCACGCTACATCCTTTCGACTCATTCCCGCCCGAAGTAAGCAATGTTTGCCAGCCTGGACCCCAAACAGTGAGATGCTACACTGTGGATGTTCAAGCTGTATGCTGCGATCTACAATGTGTGATCTATGCGGTGTGAGCTGTGAGGTGTGATCAATGCGGCGCAGCATATGTGGTGCAACCTATCTTGTGTGAGCTATGCGGTGTAAGCTATTTGGAAGATCTTACGGCCAGTGCCGCTGACCCTGAAGTGGCACGACGACGACGACGGAGGCGGCGGCGGTGGCGGAGACGACGTCGACGCTGACGCGCTGGGGCCCTTCTCGGGGCTCTCTATTGGGAACCTATTGGGCTCTGTTGCGGGGCCTCTTGGAGGACTTCTTGGGAAACTCCGTGGCAACCTGGAGCCGCCTTGGAGCATATCTGAGGCTTCTCAGAGAGGCGCGCCGGAAGAGACGCAGCACCCCGCAACAGCAGATAAGAGTGAGGAGGGTGCCTCCGGGCGGGGGGGGTAGTCCAGGAGGAGGGGGGGACGGTGGTCCCCGTGTCCACATGCCATGCGGGGGGGGACGCGAGGGAGGGGTCCAGAGTTCGCCGGGTCCACAGGGGGACCACCCCCCTGTCCCCCTGTGTCCACGGCGGGGGCCCCCCGGGCCGGAGAGCACGACCCAGGGACCACCCCCCCGGACCCCCCGGGGACCCCCCCCTCGGGACCATCCCCGGACCCCCCCAAAAAAAACCCGCGTCGGAGGAACCCCCCCCAGGACCCCCCCCAGAACCCCCCCAGGACCCTCAGGACCCCCCCCAAAAAAGCCCGCGTCGGAGGACCATCCCCGGGGCCTCCCCCCAGGACCCCCCCTCCAGGACCCTCCCCCGCTACCCCCGCCGGGTCCCTCCCCTCGCCAGGGAAGGGATCAAAGGGAAGGGGCTTCTCTTCGAATCGATTGCGGCGTTGGATTTCCGTCTGGCTGGACCACTTGCGGAGGAGGGCCCAGGAAAAGCGGAGGCGCGGCGCCAGCGACTGAAACGGACAGACGTCTCACACACCGACAGGGTCGGCGGATTAGATGCAACCTATATCATATGAGCAATGTGATGTAAATTATGTGGTGCAGAATTTATGTGGTGCAATCTGTGTGGTGTGAGCTATCTAGTGTAACCTACGCATTGCAATCTATGTGGTGTGCGCTGTGGTATCAGAGCTATGCGGTGGAAGCTACGTGTTGCATTCAAAGTGGTATTTGCTACGAGGTGCAAGCTATGCCGTGCAAGCTAATTATGTGGTG